ACGTGTTTTATGTCTGCATTGACCATATTGAGCATAGGGAAAGGACCAACAAGAGATAAGAATCTTGTGATCACTAAGAGAACTACTATCTGCATCATTAATACTAAAAGAGGTAAGATAGGTTAAAATAGTATAATAAGCTCAAATAAAATCAATTTTACTAATATACCTGGAGCTATGCCAAGTAGAAGAAGATGAGTTAGAGTGAGAAGCTAGGTTATATATGTTGTTATATGAGAGATATTGAAGAAGTTTGTATTTAATGAAGATAGAATAGATATTGTTAGTAGAGGCATTAAAGTCTCAAGTATAATAGGAAGTAGATTAAGAGTATGAGCTTCTTGTAGCTATTGAATAATAGTGTTTTGGGTATTGAGACAGAGAATAGTATTGTTATTAGAAAGATTAGTTGAAATAATACAAAATTTGAAATTGTGTTTAAAAAACAGATCAATTAGAAGAGCATAGCCAGAGATAGAGGTAATTTTGTAAATATGGTGAGTTAGAGAGTTGTGGACCATAATAGCAGTTCTAGCTTTGAAACAGTCAATACATGACCAAAAGTATGTGCAGTATTGGGTTTTGAGAGATTTGGAAGTAAGTTTGCTAATGGTAAGTTTGGTTTCAGTAAGGCAGATTATATCCAAATTATTAGATAAGCAATAATGTTTCCAAATTTGTCATTTGAGATCTTGGTTAAAGCCATGAATATTGTGAGTACATATAGAAATATTGAGAAAATTAGGTGGCACAGAGTGTTAGTAGGATTTAAGTGGCACATATCTAAACCAGTATAAGAGATCTTGAAATGGAGGTATAAAGTGGTTTGCGAGTGGATATAGTTCATTAGATAGATATATATATGCTTCTGTGTGTTCACTCTCTTTGTTTTAAGTATTAAGGATAGAGATTTTGATATAATAAGGCAAGTAGTATGAGGGATAATCATGTATATATAAGTAAGAAAGGAATGAATTGTTTGTGGGTGTTCGAGTGGAGGCAGTTTATGATGAAAAAAAAATTAGTTATAGCATGTAATTGGGTTGACAATGCCAAGTTGTTTAGTTATTTGAGTTATTGTCTCTAATTTTGAGTCATCAGTCTTATCTTGTAGAAAATCTTCAGGATTAAAGTCTGAGGAAGATTCATAGTCAGATAATAGAGATACAGAAGGGTAGGGATATTGAAGTTTGTAAATCATAGGGGCTAATGATGTTAGGAATAATTTTACAGAAGTGATATCTTCTACAGCATTCATCTTATTGCTAGCTCGCATGGTTTTGCAAAAGCTAGCAACAATCAGGTTATGCGTTAGAGAGTTGTTTTGATCTAGCTCTTCTGGGTAAATAGGCTTATCTACCTGCCTACTTATATCATTCTCCTTATTAAATGCTTGGGCTACTTCTTTTAATAAAGCAGTGGCTGTATTAATGAGATTTGTAAAAGATATATTTATTGAAAATGAGACTCTTTAAGAAATAAAGAGTCTTCTATTTTATTAGAGACTGAGAAGTTAAGGTTGAATTTGGTGTTAAAAGTAATTTAGCTTTGGGGTAGGCAGTTTCTTTATAGCATTTTGCTATTTGAGTATAGGAGGGTTGTTTATCAAGAAACAAGTCATAATAGGTGATGATTCTAGCTAGAAAGATAGTAGTGTCATGGTCGAATTTGGTGTCCCAAGTATTTATAGAGCAAGAATCAAGGATTATTGATTAGGTCATAATCCAAATTTGCATGAATAGCATGATTTGGATTGCACAGAATTAATTAAAAGTTAAAATAGTAATTGCATAAACAATATAGTAATCAATAGAAAAGTATGTAATAATCAATGACACAAATGTGTATTAGTAATTAATATAAAGTATCATTTCTAAATAGAAAAATACCAAGCTTTGATTCTTAGTAAAAAAAACTATATTATCTGTGTGATTGCATTATTGGTGGTAGTATCTGGTACGATATACCAGTCATTGTATATATTAGCCAAGTGAGTGAAAACAAAAAAAAGTCAGCAAGTACACAGTAGTCCAAAAAACACCATGACAGTAGGGATGAGGTTTTTCATAATTTTTTCCATAGCAGAGTCTTTAGTAAGATGTTCAAGACCAAGGTTCTGGGTAGCAGTTTTTGGTAAGCAGTTAAATATTTGTAAAAGAAGAGGTTACGGTAACTAGTTAAGGTTGAGAGGGAGTTAGTTTTGCAGTATTTTTCTTTTGCTTTGTTAGCAATTTTGTCAAGAAGAATAATGGATATTGGTTTAAAAAAAGTAGCTTTATGATTTCCATTAATGTGGAAGATTGAATCATCGATATAAAATTCTTCAAGAGTTAAAGCTTCTTTAGAGTACTCTTTAAAAGAGGTATTTAAAGTATCTTTAAATAGTGTATTCATTTCATGCTTGTAATCAGTTACATAGAAGCAGTTTTCAAGCTTGCATATGAGAATATGAAAGTTAATTATGTGATAGCATTTATCTTGCCAGTCTTGGAAGGAGTATAGTTTGTGAAAATGAATTAAGATAGATAAAAAAGTTTTAAGCTGGAGATAACTTGTTTTTGAATTTGGGATTGTAAGCGTAATTTGGTTTCATCTTTATTAGAAGAAGTTGAGAATTGGCAGCTAAAGACAGGATAGGCAGTATCAAACCATTCATTAAAGTGATCCAGAGAGTTTTTAAATAATAGGATGAAGTATTCTTCAAGAAATAAGTTTTAAGAAGGTTGAAAAGAAGGTTAACATTAAGTTTGTTTAATTTAATTGTAAGATATTTTCCAGTTTGGTTAGTAAATATAATGTGAAAGGTGAAGCTAAAGAATTTAGAACGAAGATTAAAGTCTTTGGTAAATTTTTTATAATTAATAGCATAGTAATTGTCAGATAAATAGAGGTGGAGGCATGCTAAATTAATTCAAAATTGAATATGTTTTTCTGCTTTAAAGAGAGAGATAGTAGTAGGAGAGGCAAAAATCTCTAAATAGTAAAAAGGATAGTAGTAAAGCAGAGTATGATTTTTGTAAGAAAACCTTCAATAGTTTCAAATAGAATAGTTGCATCTTTGCTAATATTTGGGTGAAGCTGAAAGATATAGTCAATTAAAAATTGAGGGTGTTTTCTAGTCATTTTTTTGAATAATATAGTAAAAGCTTGCTTTTAAAGGTTCACAATTGTGGGTTGCTTCTTTAATAATGCTACCTGGATAGAAGTTGTAAAGATGCTTTTTAAGGAAGTTATATAGATTAATAGAAAAGGTTGTTTGTAGTTTTTTATTGTTTTTCATATTGTCATTGATAAGAAAGTTTTGGAGCTAGTTAAAAGTTGGGTTTAGTTTAGTGTGTACTTTAGGTTGGCTAGTGGGAGTATTTAAATCTTGATGAGTTAGATTGTCAGACAGCTGCTAGACAATAGTGGCATAGGTTGGTTGCATAGTAGAGGAATAAGTATTATGTTGGGAGTTTGATAGAGAGTTGTTATGATTAGAATTGTTATCAGAATTTGATGTGGTTGAAGAGGAGTTAGAAGATTGTTGAGTTATGTAAGAAGATTGGGGTTTAAGACAGTAATTTGGGTGGTCGGGGTTGAGGTTGTATTATTTTGTAGATCAATTTCTATCATACTTGGTTAGGTTTCAGTTTGGAGAATAGAGATGCTAGAGAAAGAAAGAAAAAGAGGGTTAGAAGATATAAAGGAATGTTAAAGAGTAGTAGGTGAAGTAGTTTGTTGTAAGGTTGGGGTGGTAAATTGTTGGGAAGAAGATGTTGAAGATTAAGTAGTGAAAGTAGAGAAAGGTTGGGTAATAGTAAAAGAAAGTTCTAGTTGTTTAAAAATTAATAAAGGAGTTTGGACAAAATTTGAAACAGTAGTTAAAATAGATTGTTTAGCTAGTGTTTTGGAAGTATTAGATAGAGAAGTAAGTAGTTAAAGAGTATTGTTGTTGGAGAGGCATGCTTTGTGATAAATATTACCTTGGTAAAAGATAGATTTTTGTAAATATAGTACTAACTTTCTTTAGAGGAAAATTTGTATTCAACTAGCTGTTGTATTTTTTGCAATTAGTGTTTCAAGTTATCTAGTATAGGTTTGGTTATGAGTTAAAAATAGAAAAATAAATTTAGTTGTTTTGTTGAGTCTTTTAGTGAGATTTTTGGTAAGAGCAGTTACTTCAGAAAGGTTTTCAGCATTAGATATATAGATATTATTGTTGTTGGAAATAAAATGGGTAAAAAAAAAAACTCTCTCCGTTTATCACTCGTACACAAATTTTTTATAACTTAATTATTTTAAAACAGCTTATAACTTTTTTCTTTACTAAGTTAATCTTAGTTTTACTACTAAATAAACTTGTTCTTCTCACAAAATTACATATAATACTCAAGTATTAGCTTTAAATCTTTTAAACTTATCGAAAAACGGCCTTCTGGCCTTTTTTCTCATAAATTTGTAAATAACTTCAAAACTGCCATCTAAACCTCTTTACCAAGTTTAAGAAAACTTAAAAAGCTCACCAGCCCCATCATAACAAGCTATAGCTTAAGCTTGTGGACCAAAAACTGACAAAGTTATCTTTAACAATCTCTAAACTCTCATAATTCTCTTTTTCCTTTTTTTTTCTCTTTTACCCTTAAAAAACACTTAGATACGTTTTCTGTGTAACTTCCTACCGCGTAACCCACATTGCCCAGGCCTCAAATTTTAGTGGTTCTCTTCTAATTACACCAACTATTTTTAATTTCTTTTAATTTAGCACAAAACTAAACTTTAACAAATTTAGCTTTATTAAATTCACACAGAATAACCTTTTAGCACCAACCAAATTAACGCAACACACATACCTGTAACACGTGTAGATCAGACCCATGATTACCCGGCACCCTGTGATTATTTGTCACACCCCATGCTTATTTGTCACACCACTATGCTTATTTGTCATACTCTATATTTACCTGTCACATCCTACTATCATCTTACCAACATTCTATTGAACTCAAACTTTTGGAAAAATGACTACTCTTACTTACACCACTGTCGATACTATCGATCTAGACACCTTTTATAACCAATTCCCAAACTGCCTCAGAATTTGGATCCATGAAAACAACCCTAATACTGCTAAACCTACTCCATCTAATGTTAAATCTGGGCCAACTCTAACAGTTCTATTGAAGGAACAGCCATTATGATACAAAACCACCTTAAACCTTATATCTATAACTACTTTACACATCCTGGTGGTGCTATTGCACTTAATCTATTCTTCAAAAGCAATATTAAACTACATGTTATTTCAGTCTAGCTTTCCTCTACTGATTCTACTAAACGCAACCTTACTCAAAACACTATCATTAAGTAGATTTTGCAAGCTCAACAACTCTCTTCAGCCTATTATTCTTGGAGACTTTAATACACACGATACAACATTTAGCTCTCTAGCCAAATTTAAACTTATTAACTTCCTTCACCGCTCCAATATGTTTGATAT